AATTTTTAAATATGCCTTTCAATGAAACAAAGTGAGAAAAAAGAAGAAAGTCTTATGTTGATAACCTTAAAAAGCTGTGTTCCAGCAAAGAGAGCAATACTGCAAGAATAGAGATAAGGTTAGAAACAGTAATGCTGAATATGCGAAACAAACCTTAGCCATTAATCCAGCCAAAGAAGAAGCTACCACTCTGACTAGATGGAAGAAAATCTATAGAAAATATATCAGCAAAAACCAGGAAATGTCGAGAGATAGCTCTAAGAAAAGCTATGAGAATGATAGGCATAGAGCCCAGTCACTCTCGAGACTTAGTACCGAAAAAAGTTGAGGCAAGTGTCAAAATTTTTTTAATTGAAAAATTACGAAATAGGAATGGGAGCATCAAAAGTAAGGAAACAAAGTAAAAGTGGGCAGGATAACATTACAACACTTGGTGGTTTTAACATGGTGCAACCTCAAAGTGGGTGTGGCCATCATTCCGCTCATTCCTACTTGATGTTTTACTTTTAAATTTGATTCAATTATAGACTTCATTTGAGCTTTATCAATATCTAATCCTTTCTAAATCCTAAAAAAAAATCAGTAGTTTTGATACTATTCTTTTGGCCCATCCCTTTCCAGTCAGCTAACTATAATATCTCCCATAAGCAAAGGCTGAGTATTGGAGCTTCCTGTTTCACTTCCGACGACATTTTCACTTAATTTACACAATTAGCATGTTACAAAAAGCACATGAAATAGGAATGGGCGAAACGATGGTCACACCCACTTTGTGGTTGCACACTTTCAAAAACCACCATGTTTTGTCATGTTATCCCGCCCATTCCTTACTTTTTGGTGCTCTCATTTCCACTTCCTATTTTTTTTCTTTAAAATGCTTTTTTTACACTTGTATATATATATATATATGATTTCAAGAATATTGTGTTGTTGTTTTTTATTAAGCACAAAGGGCTATCTGTGCTCTGCCCACCACGGGTATCGAAACCTGATTTCTAGCAGTATAAGTCCGTAGACATACCACTGTGCCACTGGGGGGCACAGGTGTTACTAAATTATTATTCTTTAAAATACTAAAAATAAATACAAATACAGATTCACTATGATGTGTTATATATTAGGTCGTCAAGAAATTAATATCGCGTTTTGAAACATTTTGATTAACCACCCTCCAAAAACCTACATCACGTATAATAGTTAAACGAACAGCCTAAACGTCACATTAGTGTAGCCTATATACTGTGTAAAGTTTAGTATACTCTAATCCATTATAGTGATGGCACACGGCGAGACACACATTCGGCATGTAATGCTGTTTGAATACAAGAAGGGAAACAACGTCTCTGTAGCCACAAAGAATGTCAAAGAAGTTTATGGAACTGTTTTATATGTTCGTAAGTGTCAACGGTGGTTCAGTAAATTTCGTTCAGGTGACTTTAGCCTTCAAAACTGTGATGGCAGGGGCCGACATGTTGGAATTGATATTGATGCTATAAAGAGCTTGTTGAGTCTAACCCAAGGAAACACACTCGTGAAATGGCACTGAAATTGCATGTCTCTCATGAAACAATACGTAAACATCTAAGGAAAATGGGAAAACTCCATAAAGAATGTGTTTGGGTGTCTCACGAACTCTTCAATTATCTTCGTTTCCAACGTGAACGTTGCTACATCTCTTCTGGCGCGTAATGCGCGTGAACCATTTTTGGACAGAATTGTCACCGGTGATGAAAAATGGTTTCTTTATGCGAATATTAAAC